TGAAGTGTTGCCTTTTCTTAAGCATTTTATCCTGTAATGATAGGCATCACTGAAGAGATACCATGCCTTAACATTGTAATTTGTAAAGACATGTTGATTAAAAATTACTTTCACTAATTCTATTTATAAATTACTTCTAACATATTTAATTAGAATTAAAAAAAATTTTAAATTTTATTAACTCTATCTTAAAATTTAATAAGTCTCTACCTAGACCCCTAGTAAGGACAAAAAAAATTATTTTTAATAATTTTTTCTAGCTTTTAATTAAGATAGAAAGATAAAGATGAACATGAAAAATATTGAAGTGCCCTATAAAGAGAACTAAAATTAATATTTTCTATCTTCCCTATAATAGGATTGGAGGAGTATTAAATTATGTTATTATCCATACTATTCAATAGTTATTTAATCCAAGTATGCATTACAACAAAGAATTAACTAAGGGCACTTAGTTCAATTAATTAAGAGAGTTGAACTTATCATGGGATTTTGAATTCAAGTCTTGAGAGAGGTAGTCACCTTAAATAAAATAAAATAAAAAAAGAAGCTAATGCATCCCCAAGGTACCTATATATTAAGCTGTTATTGATAATAACAATATCACATAGTGGGAATTTGGATTAGTTTGCATGGTTAGGTTTCATAGAATGCTGGCCAATACAATAAAAAAATAAAATTTATGATAGAAATTAAGAAACTCAATTCGCAAAAATTTTGTGACAAAATATTCCATCAAAAATTTAATTTTGTGATAAATTTATGATAACAAAATTTTTGCCATGAATTTTTGCTTGTGTTAATGAGCAAATAGGATGCTGAACTCTTGCTCAAAAATCGCACTAGACCTTGAACTCTTAAAATATGCAAAGTAACCCTAAACTTTTAAATTCATAGCAAAATAAACCCCAACTGTTAACTTTTTTAACACTGTTACTGTTCACATGGGTACTGTAACAGTCAGGGTTAAATTTGTAGGAAAGTAAACCTTGAATAATACTTGCATGGACAATAATGGTATTAAAAAGTTAGCGGTTAGGGTTTATTTTATTATGAATTTAAAAGTTTAGGTTTATTTTACACATTTTAAGAGTTCAAGGTCTAGAGCATTTTTGAGCAATAGTTCAAGGTCTTATTTGTTCATTAACCCTTTTTGCTTTATTGTATTTAACATTAAAATGCTAATTGCTTTGAAATCAAGAGATTATGATGTGCAAAATCTCCAATTGAACTCAACAATATTAAAATATGACTAGTTAGATAGTCACATAAAAAATAATGTGTGGTGTATTAATTCTAATCTAAAAAAATAAATGTTAAGGAGAACATTGACAAGGCTTTTTTCAATGGTCCTTAAGCTACTTCTATTCCAAATTTTAGAGATTTTCACTTGAATAGATATGGATATGATCATAGGCCCCGTTATCTTTTATCCTGTGTGGTCACCAGTAATAACTTATCTCATCGTTCCTTCAAGTGTCGTGTTACATGGACTCTTGAAGATAACTTTGGTGATGTGATCAAAATAGCATGGTGGTTGGATAACTAGAATCAAAATGTCAAATGCTTTGAAAGGGAGCCTCTTTGTGTAATAGTCACAGAATTGGAAAAATTCCTTATAAGAAGAAACAATTGTTGAGACGTTTGGAGGGTATTAATAATGCTAGACGAAGACAAGATAACCAATATATCTAACAAGTTAAAGTAGAGCTTTAGAAGGAATATAATAAAGTTATAGTGCAAGAAGAATTAATTTGGTACTAGAAATCAAGGTTCAATTAGATAAGTATGGAGATAAAAATGTTGGCCTTTTCTATGTAGCCACCAAAGTTGGACAAAGGAGAAATAAGGTTATTTCTCTTCATAGTGAACATAATGAGTCTGTAGAAGACCAAATGATGCTAAATAATTTAGCATACAAATACTTCTCTACTCTTTTTTTTTAGCTAAAGAGTCTTCATCACCTATTTGTAATACTATTAAAAACTTTCTTGCACTTAATGAGGAGGATAATTAAGTTACAACTGTCAAGAGAGGTGACTATTGAAGAAATCAAGGCTGCTACTTTTGATTGAAGAGCCATGAAAGCTTGAGGCCTGGATGGTATGTAGGCATTTTTGTATCAAGAGTACTGGTTTTTTAAGATAATGAAATTTGCAAATTAATTTAGAATGCTTTTGTAAGATCTTTGACCCTGGAAAAAGTTAATCAGACTCTTATTACCATTTATCCCTAAGGTGGATAGGCATGATACCATTAAAAAATTCATGCCAATTTTCTTATGTAATGTTAGTTGTAAAATTATCTCTAAATGCTCACAATAAGAATAAAAGAGATTATGCCAAAGATTGTTGGATAACTTCAAAGTAGCTTCATTGTTAGGAAACAAAAGTTGTGATAATGTGATAATTGCACATGATGAAGTTATCCATTCAATGTGAACTATAAAAAAAAATCCAAGAATGGATTTGTAGTAGTTAAATTTGGCTTAGAGAAGGCATATGTCAAATTAGACTAGCCTTTCATTTGTCATTGCTTGGTTGAAGTTGGCATCAATGAAAATATTATTAATGTAATCAATGCATGTGTCGAGACCATTGCTATGAGAGTTCTTTAGAAGAGAGAACCTTCTTTTAAGCTTAGACTGTTAAGGAAGAAAGGAGAGGGGATCCTATTTCTTCTTATCTTTTCACTTTTTGCATGGAAAAGCTAAGTCATTTGATAGAAGATGAAATAAGAGAAGGGAATTGAAAGCTAATTAAACCCTTTAAGCACGGTCCTCTTATCTTTCACTTATTCTTTATTGATGACCTTTTTTGTTTGGGGAAGCTTTAATTAACCAAATTGAAGCAATAAACAGGTGCTTGTAAGGGTTTGTAAAGCTTATGGCTAGAATGTTAATAAATTAAAGACTAAAATGTGCATTTCTAAATTTGTTCATTTCTCTAGAGTTAGTTATTTAAGTAAAAGGTTGGGACAGTTGGGCTTATTGGTGATATGGGTATATACCTTGGTGTTCCACTTATACATATGAAGATGTCCATTAATCATCATATTCTTGATAGAGTTAACAGAAGACTTATAGGGTAGAAAGGTAAATTCTTAAATCTAGCTAGCGAACAACTCTTGTCGAAGCTATAAATTCTTCCCACCCTAACTATCATATGCAAATGGTGCTCCTTCTAAAAGAAATCTTGATGAAAATTGATAAAAATAAGTCCTTCCTTTCTTTTAGGGTGAAAATGAAGATATGAAAATAGTTTACCTTGTCTTGTGGAAAGAGGTGTTGGAGGATAGGGATAAAGGGGGATTGAGAATCAAAGTTTAGATACAATTATGGTAAATGGTAATGAAGCTCTATCTAAGATACGGAACATAAAGGTGTCTTCTACTTATTGGAGAAGTATTAGTAAAGTTAGGGATAAATTTACTTTTGGCTTGGGCATGATAATATCTTTTTAGTCTTCAAATGAAATTATGGTTGAAAAGATGATCGATTCTTGATACTCCTCTCTTCCAGCAAGCAACTTATGCTCTAAAACTCTGAACTTATATGAAATCATTATTTATTTTTTGACTAAAAATGGTGATTGGGATGAAACTAGAATGTTGCATTGGCTTCCCCTTCATATTGTTGACTTCATAACTAGTAACATTTGCTATAACGAGGTGAGTGGTGAGTTAAGTGGGGAGGATCATTTATGTGAAAACTATCTACTAATGGTTCTTTCACTGTGAACTTTGCCTATATAAAAGATCAATTTTTTTAGAGGTACAAATGGTCATTATGACAACAGGTAGAAGCTCATTTGTCCACAAAAATCACTACAATACTTTCTGCCATTTGGTTTGTTCAAATTTAGAGGTTTCTTCGAATTGCTACAGCCTATTGTCATAATTTTAGACCTTAAACTACTACTGTAACCTTATAATAGTTCATGTCAAATGGTGCGAGTCAACAGTGACAACATGGTCACAATTTGGTTCAAAAACACTACAAAATTCATGTATGGTAGTTGTTTCACAGAATTACTACTATCCAACCACTACAATAATATGTTGTTTTGTAGTGAGAGTTCCCAAAAAGATGAAGAGCTTTCTATGTCTGTGGCAAAGGAGAAATTACATACCATGGACCTCAGAGCAAATAGAGGTATTGATGAAAATGGTGTTTTCACTTTTGGATGCAGTAGTGTCATTAGGAATATTATTTATATTGTTTGAGATTGTCTAGTTGCTAGAAACCTATAGCCTCAAATTGTAAGCCAAGAATTTTGAACCATGTTGATAACTTGGACTATGCTGCGTGGATCTAATGCAACTTGAAGAGGGATCTAGGTAATAGCATGAGAAGAGTATCTTATGGCATGCTTTTTGCTTGTACTTGTTAGGAAATATGGAACTTGAAGAATAAAAAGATCTTTAATAATGAGGAAGAGGACCTATGTTTAGATGGAGAAAATGTTTTATATAAAGTACTTGTGGAGGTGAGTGGCTATGGTGTTCTTGTGGAGGTGTAGTAAAAGACATAAATGGTAACTAGTTATTTAGATTAAATAGTAAACTTATCTCTTGTCCACCTATTATTTTAGATATTTATAGCTTATTAAAGGGATTGGAAATCTGTTGGGAAAGAGGGTTTCACAAGATTAGTGTCTACATTGATTGTGATGAGGAAATTAATCTTATCACATTGGATAATTTCTTTTAAACCCTTTTAAAGATGTAATTAAAGTTACTATTGATATCTTACATAGAGATTGGCTTTTTGTAAATATAGTTAAATAGAGAGTCTAATAGTGTTACTGATCATCTTGCTAAGAAAGGTTATAGTTCACTTTTGATTTTGTAGTCTTTGATTAGTCACCACCTTTTGTGTCTGCTTAAGGTGGAGATTGATGAGAGATTCTCTTTTGTTTGTTATTCTCTTGTAATCTTTGACATTTGTCTATTGTAGTATTCAATTGCTCAACATTTAAAAAAAAACGCTTGTCTCCATTTCTATTGCTCATAGCTAGAGTCTAGTTGTGTATTGGTGGCTTTTTTTTCACTGCAGTATAGTCCATCTCAGTTATGTCTACAAGTTCTTCATTGTTGACCTTTTCTTGGTGTTTTGAAGAATTAGTGGCCACCCAATTCACTTTTGTGTCCTCTCCTTCCATATCTTCTTTTATATTTTCACCATGCTCAATCACATTCGCTTTCTGTCCATAAATGAGAGGAAAAAGAAAAAAACAAAAAACAAGCAAGGGTTTAACAAATTTAAGGATTAGATGCGACAATGAAAAATGTTTAGCTAGGCTCAATTTGGTGATGTTTCTATTAACATATATAGAAACTTTGAGTGATATATATATATATATAGGAACTATTAAGTGTAAGAATAGGGAGTGACTACTCAAAAATAGGAAGGAAGAACAAATGAGCAAAGAGCAGTAGAAAAATATTATATCTTAATTCAAAACTTCAAGATTCAAGTTATAAGTCCTTCTCATTTGTTGAAAAAAATCAGCAACAAAACCAACCTTCCTTATGGTATCGGTGCTGGAAATAATGGATGTAGAAACAAGTAATTTCTTATTCTTTGCCTTTTTTCCTGCATCGATCAGTAAAAACATACATGGAAGAAGCTTTAGTTATATATTATATAGGATATAAGTACATGTTAATTGGTACAAGTTTCATATTTAATCTTGAGGGTCTTCAACAACAACAGTAAGACAAATAATTCAAGAAAAAGAAAAGAGAGAAAACCATGAATCTTCATGAGGAAGAAAATTCAACTCTAATGCTTGTCTTGAAGTCTTGGCCTTAATTTCTTGGCAAAGACCTAACAAGGTTACTTGTGCTTTGTGTTTATTTAACTAAGCTATAAGATTATATAAAAAATTCAGACACATAAATATAGATGATCTAGTAAGGGTGTTCATAGAGTCTTGGTCCTGATCAGTCTATTTGTTCACCAGAGGCAGAGCTAAGATTTAATTATAAAGAGGGTTGAGATTAAAAAACATATATACTATAAAATTTGCATAAATTTCAAGAGAATTATTGCAAGTATGTAACATCTATATAATATTAAGAGACATTAAAAAACTTGAGAGAAAGTTGTGGCCATTGTTGATTCCATTCCTCTGTCCCTATTCGTCCCAATCTTGCCAAGACAAAATAAGACATGGGATGAAAATTCAATTCGATTCTTTTTTTGAGATGGAGTCTTGACCCCTTCCCGTTCATAAACACTTTTGGAAACTTTGGTCTTCTTTCTTAGTACGTACCTGGTGTACTATTATAGTTCCGTACTTCCTTGCAGAGATTAGCTTCCTCATCATCACAGTCTCCATTATTGGTTTTTCCCCATAAATCCTGTGCCTCCAGAAATCAGAATGCCAAGTTTCATGTCAAAACCTAGAATTATACAACTTGACAGATTAAGAAATGAGAAAGATTATAAATATAAGTTTATAATTAATTAACTTACTCGATGTTTATTTTGCGTTTCCGTTGAAACCCCTTCCTCCAAGCGAATCCCTGCATGTAAAACACAGTATTATACATGCACATGGATATATCAGAAATTAGATAATATTTTATTCTGTAATGGATAAGGATTATTTGAACGATTGAACTTACCTTGAGACTTGGAATGAAGGAGGGAGAGAAGCTGGAGAGAGAAAACAAGTAGAATCAAAGGATTCATTAAGTGACTTGAACAAAAAGATCGGTCTGAAAGACGTTAATTTGAATCCCTAATCAAATCTACCTTCTAATGGTCCTCTTGTTTTTGGTTGAAATTGATGAAGAGCTTGAAGTTTGTACGACACAGAAACACGCTCATATATAAATATATATATATATACATAAGATCGATGGATAAAGAAGGGTCGACAATGAAGTTTCTTTCAACTGAAGGAGGGAAAAGAGTTTTTCTTACTTCCCAAAGGGACAGAAAACTGATGCTCATTTGTTAGAATATATAAATTGTAATTGAACTTTTTATTAATTAAGAACTTGACTTCTCTGCTGCCTTGAAACATTGACATTAGTGACAGGGAAATAATAGTTAAGTCTCAAAACTTTGAATTAATGATAGTTATCATATTTAAAAGTTGCGCATTATAAATAAGATATTTAAGTTTCAAATATAATTCTTGTATTGTATCTAGAATTCTTCCTTGTAACTATTTAAATCATTGTTAGAAAATCTTGTCAAGAACATAAATGTCATTGATTTAATGTTTTAGGATCTAACTATTGTTTATTTGTTCTCTCTGATTGATTTTCTTAGCATGTGAGAGATTAATAATGATGACTTGTAATATATATACACATATAAAATTAAAAGTAAGAAAATTTTTAAGTTAAATGGTAAAATTGGAAGATGATGAGCTACCTTATTATTTGTGTGAATACTTTTTTAAGTTAAAGGATGAAATTTAAAAAAATTATTTTATCTTTATGTTTGACATTTTATAATTAGAATTATTTTTTTCTTAAATACTATATAAAAAAGACTACTGTAGTAGTAATATATAGGAAAAATGAAAGGCGAAGACTGGGGGGCGGAAAAACAAAGCGTAAACAGTTAAAAAAGTACATTTACTTTTGTGAAAGGTACAGGTTTTTGGGTTAATGGGAGGATTTTGAGAAGCGGCCCCTAATTAATGCATGTTACAAGCTTGTCTCGTTTGACTTTTATATATATAGTATTCTCTCAGTATTAAATTATAAAATATTTTTTTAAAAAATTTTTATTTTAAAATATAAAATGTTTTGAGTAAATTAAAACTTCATTAAATACACTAATTTTAATATTATTTATTTTTTTTTAATAATTAATTTCTATCACTTTTTTTTAATATATTAAATGATGGATATATTAAAAAATTTATATTTTTATTTTAAAAAGATAAGGTTATTAAGTATATTTAATAAAATTTATTAATATATAAAATTTTATTTAAAATATTTTATAATTTAAAATAGAGGAAATATTATTTAAAAGATCACATTGATCCTTCCTTGTTCCTTGTTTACGCACAAATCTCCAAAGATGCCAAGCTAACTTTACTTCTGTCTTCGTCACAATTTTCTTGGCTTTTTTCCCGGTTTGCTCTTTTGCTCTTTTACTCTTTTTTCCACCATGTGTCTCTTCTAAATTCTAAGGTATAGACAATTAATTATTATATATGTTAATTTTGAAAAATTGAATTGCTCTTCTCTTTCCATCTCGAGACTTTCTGCTTCTTGATCTATTCTACGATGCTATTATTTGGATTGTGTCTTCAATTCAATGTTTCATTATTACAATCATATTAAACACACGCGTCGTTACCAGGATTGAATTCTTGATACTTCTAAACATGAAAGGGTGGTGTTGTCACTTAATAGATAAATTTATTAGATAGACTAGGTACATCATATTATTTATGACATGTTCAATAAAAACATGACATTTAAATAGTATTAAATATAAAATTAATAATAATAGAGAGATAAAAAGAAAAAATTAAATATGCATTCTGTTATAAAAATAAAATTAATTAAAAAATGTCACACAAATTTTATTTAGATTACTTAAAAAATTTTAATTTGATAAACTATAAATGGCATGGCATATTTGGTCTATCTAGGTATTTCTCAAATAAATGAGCTTGTCATTAATTACTTAAACATAGAGACATGCCCTAGATTAGGTGATCCCCCAAATCCAACTCACCGAAACTTTTGTTTATAAAAAAAAGTTAACATATTTTAATTAGTTTTAATATCTTTCTTATTTTGTTGCTATTATTTTTTGCAGAATAATTTACATTTAAAACCACAAACATTTTCGAATGTGACTTATGTTAAGGGATGGAAGGAGTATTAATTCATATCATATATTATCATCAAAAAATGAATGTAATCTTAATTAGTTCAATGAATAAAATTCATCTTAAACATCAAATAAATACAGAGTCTAAACAAATTTAATTATGAGAAAATAACAATTACAAACTTTGAATAAATGAAATCCCATTAAAAGATTAAAGTCCTTGCCTCCAATTACAAGTAATACAAATATATTAAAATTTTCCTCAGAAATGAATTAAAATAGCCACATGAATTCCCTAACATCGCTATTGCTTCTTGTTGCCCCCGATAGTCGTCGTCTTGTGCTTAGTTCATTGTTGTCGTCTCCAATAGTCACCATTATGTTGCTTCACGATACCTAAAGATTGTTCTCCATTAGTGGTGACTCCATTTCAAATGCCGTTGCTCCATTAACACATTGTTACTCCGTTTGTCATTGGTTAATTCATTCGTTATTGATGAAAAAGTAGAGGAAGGAGAATCAAAACAAGATGAAGATGAAGATGAAGGAGAATCAGAAGAAGATCGGTGATGAAAAAGAATTAACAAATTATGGCCAAAAAGAAGGGTGAGGAAAATGAGTGATCGACCAAGTTAGAAGTATTGAAGATGAAGGAGAGGAAGAATAAATAAAAGAGATTTTAAAGGTATGAAATGACACTAAGATCACCACGTCAGCACAAACATGTTCACAACTAACTCTACAAGGAAAAAAGAGGTGGCTTTTATACATTTCACACACATATATATTAGCAAGCACAAAAAATTTATAATTAATACAAAAAATTTATAATTGTCTTGAGATTCACAACTAAGTCTCATATAATCACAATTGGCTTTCCAACAATCTTCAAGTGACTTTTTGCAATTTCACAGGTGAGTATATGTGAATTGACCACTAAAAAATCAATATGTTTAATTTGTCCTAAAATTCACAATTGACTTCCAAAAATTCCCACATCATATTTCCAAGAGTCAGATGTTGCTTTCCTCAATTTCTTAAGTGAACACACACACACACACACACACATGAACATATACAAAAAATCACAGTTGTCTTGAGATGTGAAAATAATTAACTAGTACTCCTGCATATTCACAACTGATTCTCCAACAATATATCTACGTGGCTTTCCACAATTTTGCATACAATAAGTGAGTATATGTATTGATATAATTGACTAAAAATTCATGTGATTGTTGGGTTCTTAGAGTGCCGGTAGTGACCTTAAAAGAGGACATGGAATTAAGCATTCTATCAAGAAGAGTGGGGCATAGGATGAAATAAAGGGAAAATTAAATTATCATTTATTTAAAATTATCTTATAAAATAAAAGATTAAAGAAAGAAGAGACATTCAACAGTGAATTAAATAAAATAGAGTCATCTACACTCACATATATAGATATCTATATCTCCGCGATATGTAAGATAACACAAATTATGTGCGTGTATTTCAAGATAAATTAAGTGAAGATGAGGTATAAAATATATTATCTTGAAATTAGTTTTATATCTAATAGAATTTTATTTAAAAATTGAAAATGGGAAAATAAAAAATTTAAATTAAGTTTAAACTTTATATATTCTAGAGGTCTTAATCAAAACCTGACTTAAACTTAATCAAAACCTGACTTGCGTCTCCTCTCTCCCTCTCTCCCTCTCTCACACATTCAACATTCTCTTGCTGCCGCCAAGGTAAACTAAATTCATCTCCTATCATCATTATTTTTATTTTGTCTTCTCTCTACCTCTTCCCTCCCTTGTCATTTCCTTCTCTTATTTCTTTCTCTTTCATTCTTTCTTTCACGAGAAAATTGAATCCAAGAACCTCCCAAACAAATTATTCACAAATAAGGATCAAATAATTTTATAGTTGCTATGCAGGATCAAGGGATCTCAATGAAATTAAATTATATTTTAAAAAGACTAAACTACCTTTACTTTTTACTTAAAAAAGCTCACCCCTATAGCCGTTGGTGATAGCCACTAGAGGCCCCTTAGGTCACCAACCGTTGAACTTCTGATGTGGGTGACTAAATAAACCATTGAATCATTAAAGGTAGTTGGGGGGTTTTGAACCCAAGATCCCTTGGCCAACCAAAAAATCAATGACCTTCAAGCCATTAATCTTGTTAAGTCATAATGTGCAAAAAATAATATATGTAATAATTTTAACAACATGTCAATCACAAGTGAGGTGTTCTGGTTAATAAGTAATCATTCAAAAAATAACAAGTTCTTATTCCATTTTAACTAGCATCAATTCCATAATTAACAAGTCTAAAAAATAGCCATTTTACTTGAGAGAAACAAATGTTATGATCGAGTGAATGAGTTATCGTTTGAGAAAAAATAAGTTCTCATTCGGTAACATCCCAAATTATAAACCAAGATTCATGAACTGATAAAGGATTAATAAGTAATTTAGAGTATTTATTAAGCTAAAAAAGTTTTTGAATGATTTATAGGCTCTTTAGGACAACCTTAGGGTTGGGCTAGGAAATAAAATAGGTCAACCCAATTGGAGGAGCCAAAATGTGGATTAGGCTCATTGTGCAATTTGCTACAGTGGACGTGCAATGTGTAACATATCAAAATTTGAATTCAAGATTTACAAATTAAATTAGGGTAAGTTAGTAACTAGTACAATAATTAAGTTAAGAATGATTTAGTGGCCTAATTGGGTTATATAGATTAATTGGTAGGCTTGGAGATTGGACATAAGATGATTGGGCCACATGGGGCCTAATGGGATGATGCAAATTTGGGTTTATAATCTCTATATTATATGTCGTGGTGGATGATGCGTGCATTGTGACAGATAGTTGTATTTCTAGCTTGTATCAGCTGCAAAAAAATAAAAATAAAGAGGAGGAAAGAAAGAGAGAATGATGGAGAAGGAGCT